ATTTATCCTTTATTTAACAATAACTCCTTATTATTAATAAACTCTATTTTGAAGTTATATCTTATATAACTTTATATTATATACTTTATATAATAATTCTCCCAATATATCCAGTCCATAAACTCTTAGGGTGTGACCTCGTAGCACCCAATTATAATAGCAATGAACTTTATAACATAAAGTCCATAAATCATAGTTGGCTTCTAGCAAAGCACTATGACTACCTAAAATAACCGGATTGTAAATCTCCATTAAATGTCCCATACCATATTTAGTAATTGCACATTCGATTAAAGGACACAATTCCTTCAATTGGTACTAGAAACTAAAGAAAGATTTAAGGATTTTTCATTAGGATCTCGTGTGTTTGCAATTTGAAAAAGGGCAATTATGGGTTACATGACATGTACGTATAAGCGTCGGTGGTGACGATGCATGCAATTCAATTCTGAAGTTGTGCGGTTGAGAATTACCTATAAAAAAAATTGATTTGAACTTGTCAATTTAAGCGTGAACCTGCAAGCATGGAAATAAATGGAGAATTTATGTTTTGTTCACTCTTGTCTAGCTGACACGAGAAGTTAATTACAAGCCATTGACAGAAAGAATAGGGATGATTTGGAGATTTTTAGTTATGCTCTTTAACGCACGACCCGTTTTGCTCAATAGATGAAGACGTATTGTGTGTGTTTTTATCAATACCTGATTCAATGGGCCTAATTCAAGACCTAGTCCATTAGGTCCCTCAGGTGGCGATAAACTCACTAAGGAAAGATTCTAAGCCGGAAGCCACCTCTCCCGAATTCACGATACGAAAGGTTGCCCAACCTATATCCTTTTATGATTTATTGATTTATTTATTGATTTTGAGTTTTCAGTCAATATTGCCTGGGGGGACTGTTGAACTTTTGGTTCATGAAAATATAATTTTGCCTTTGTGAATAGTCCCACATCGGAAAATGGGAAGAAGTTCAAGAAGTTTATAACAATTTACATCTCAATGGGCTTTGAATTAGTGTTTTGGGCCTTGTATTGTTTGGACTATTACTCCACACACGCGCACGCACGCCACGCCTTGCCACGAACATTGAACAGAAACACATGTTCTCGGTATAAATCTTAAAGTTTATAGGTAATAATCATTAAAAATTTGTGGATCCCCTATTAGATATTCTTTTCTTGATTAATTAGGTGTTAATGCGGGCTTTGGATTGTACAAGTAGTTGTAATTTGTAAATTTATAAAGAAAAAAGCAACCAAAGTAGAATTCTCAACAAAGTTACTTGATGGCTGGTGCACAGTGCACTGCAAGCAACATAAAATAGTGGGCACTGTTGTCAACCTTTTTATTTATTTATTTATAAATGCACAATTATTCATTATTATTCACTTGAAAAAAAAAATATGAAAACAAAGCAAAAGTATGGGCCCCTGCAATAATTGACGCCACTCCGTATAGTTGCTGACACCGTCCCCATCTCCGCACGGTCACCTGTAGACACTCACTGGCTATTGCCGGTCGCTTATCTCATCTCGTCCCGATATCTCTCCGCTTCCTCCATCTCTCGTGGTCCTACGTACTTCCTCCGAACTGATTTTTGCAGATCAACACCAATACTTTTTTATTTTTCTAAATTCTGGCGCCGTAGCACAAGGAGGTAGTATTTGCAAATTTCACCACTTCGTAAATTGCACCCCTCAAAACGCCAATATAACATAATGATGCTCAAAACAGGAATATATGAACCTAATGTTTACAGAGAACCGTCAAACTTACGACATTGTGTTCACAAAATCCAAAACGTTCAACATCATTTATAACAACCGTGAACTTTTAATAAAGTTTCAGAAAACCCATTATGTCGTTAGGGGCCATGCATGTTGAGAAGATTGTATACGTTATCAAGGTTTTGTAGAAAGTATGAAAGTTTAGGAGAGTTAAGTGATAATTTTCAAAATTTTTGGGATTTCCTCAAAGAGGGCCAAACCTTTGAAGATTTTAAAAACTTTGCGCAGAATTTAAAGAATTTTAAAAAATAATTGGAGTAAATTTAAAATATATAGAATGAGTGTACGTTTAACAGTAAATTCGACAAGAGTAAGAATAAAAAAGTTTTAAATTTAGCTAGCCTAGAGAGTGCCACGTGAGAAAATTCGAAGTAAAATTCCCATTTTTGTGACATATATAATAATATTAAAATGCTAACTTTTAGAAACTTTAGCGTATATAGTGTTGATGAAAACAAGTGTAGATACATAAGTTTAAAACAAAGTCTAAATTGCACAAAAATACCATAAAGATTCCTGTTTTGACAATTAAATACCACAAGTTATATTTTGCTTAAAAAATACCACAAAGTTTCTAAAATTTACGCGTTACTACCATCGATCATGCAGACATGGAGATTTTCACTCAAATATTTCTTTATGATACTTACCTACTAATTTTAGAGCTTTCTAATCATTAATATTTGATAAAATTTTCATTAGAACTATATATTCCGACTATATATATATATATCAAGGTGGATTAAGATAAGTTTGAAAAGAAATTTGATTAATTTAATAATAAATTTAACAAATATTATAAGTTAAAAGCTCTAAAATTAGCCTATAAGTAACATGGAGAAACATTCGGGTGAATTTTTTCACATTTTCATGAACGATGGTAATGATTTTCAAAAATTTCGAAAATTTGTGGTATTTTTATTATGTTAAAATGCAGCTTCTTGTTGTATTTAATTATCAAAATGGGAAACTTTATGGTATTTATGTGCAGTTTAGCTGAAAAAATAACAACAATCAAAGGCCTAGAGAGAGAGAGAGAAAAGTGAAGGAAATAAATTTACACCGAGACGTACCGTATTGCTTTTTATGTGATTAGCAAACAAAATCGAGATCCAATCGGATTTGAGACTTTTTTTTTTAAGAGAAAGGATGGACTACTGTAAATCATAACAGTAATCCAGACGGCTAAATTAACCAAAAATTGGCTGATACATGAAGATACACATTCCCAACCAAAAAGAATGTGCACTTGAGTTCAAACAGGATTTGAGACTTCTTGTTGATTGAACAAATATTATAACCAGACAAATTAAAGAAAATAGAGTTGAGTTAACCCAACCACCGGACAATGAAGAGATTTATGTCATAAACTGATAATTAATTAAACTTGATGGAGAGAAATTTTCATTAAGTACCAGAAATCATGACCTATGACGAATAAATACTAGTCGCGTGATGAAACTTTTATAATGCGATGAATTAAGCTACATCCTGTAGTTCATAATTAATTCAACCCCATTTTTGATGTCGTCCTTTCAGTGCCGTCTCAAAAATGTTTAGGCTGTGTTTAAATATAAAGAGTTATATATAAATGCGTTTTTTTGTGTGACTAATTTCACCAAAACGAATCCTTATTAATAAAGATGCTATGTTGCTAAATAGTAATGTTATGGCTCGTTTAATGTAAAAAATAGTGGATAAACAAGAGTTTTAACATATGTAAGTTGTTTCATTTTCCTAAAGAGTGAATGAGAAGTTTGAGGTCCACCTCCTATATACATAGATATACTTTCACAATTTTGTGTATATTCATGCTATCATACACATATCAGTCTCAATTGTCATGAAAAAAACTCCCAATACAAAAAATTTGGAACTTTCTCCGTTGATAGAACTTCAATCACATTCATCCAGCTCAGCGGGCCCACAATCTTGATTCCTTCTGAGTTACCCCCATTAAAGCGCGACGCTGTTGGGGCCCGGTGTCCTGTCACTGGTGGGCCGAAATCCATTAGATCCATTTCCCACCGTTAAAACAAAATCAAACGGTTTGGATTAGAAAGCGAGCAGTTGGTTTGAAGCTGGGCCCAAATTAACTGGGCCGCAAAATTCGAACCGGTTCCTCGCGTACGCGGCTCGTATCGTGCGCGAAAGGTTGGATCGTCAATTAGCAGCGATAAACTCAGCAGCAGTTTGTCGAGAAGTTGAATTTTCAGTTCACCGGATTTTCCGGTGCATGTGACCGGATGACCGGCTTGAGTTGTCGCACGTACGACTCGGTCCCCAGAGTTCGGGGGGAAAAAAATCATTGGGGGGCTAACGGACAATGGACATATATATATACTTATTAAAGTCTAAACAATAGAGAAAAGATTAAACAAATAGATAACTAATTTACCTAATGAGTAAGGAAAAAAGTACACTTTAGTCAAAAATAAGTTTAAACTGAATAATTTAGTTCTCTATACATATCCCATTTTGCTTACAACTGCCCCGAAAAGGAACAATTGGCGATGGTTGAGAGCATAAACTTATAAAAAATTTGACATGAACGTCTCATTTTGCATAAAGTGTGTTTATAAGGAATAAAAAAGTGTTAAGTTCTGTTCTACCCTAGAAATCTTTAATTTAACGGACCCATAAGATCCGGTCACGAGTCAGGTCAGGTCATATGATCAGAGAGCTATCCCGGTGTATATAGCCACAATTTGACTACATTATCTGACCCTTACGATAATCCCAGTCTAGCTCGATCGGGAGATGTCCTCGGCTCAAATCCCACGATAGAGCACATGTCACAAGTCAAGTGGGTGTCCGACCGTTTTGTCGAAGGCACCCGCATTTAATATACGACCAGACATGATGATAACTTCTCGGGCGTCGCCCATACTCCGTCGCCCAATTGCCATCACATTAAATGCAAGTCAAATGTGATAATGACTCCTCGAACGGTGCCCACACCCAGTCGTTCTGTCATTATCACGTTAAATATAATATGGACGACTCTTACAAGATCGCCCAATCAAGTTGATAAAAGTAAAATCGCAAATGAAGTATCATTTCTACCGGCCGAGTCAAGTTACCAATCTACCCTCGATACCGCATATAAAACATAAGAGATATTCACTATTCTCATGTCTGAACTCTCTGAACCTTAAACCTGATCTAATACTCTTCACATTGACTTGAACAGTCACTGAGTTGAGCGTCGGATGGCATTATGCCGTAAGAAACTTCCTCAAAGGCCTCTAACGGTTGCTACTTGTGCAAGGATTTGCCTTTGCAGACTTGATCATACATCAGAGAAGACCGAGTATCCCCTAATTCGTTATTAATCCTAACTCAATCATGAGGGAGGTTAACTTTTCGACATGAACAAGTTCTATGTTCACTTTAACAAATACGTTGAACTCGATCTGCCAATGCCTTATCTCATAGTATCTCATTTTGCTCCTGCCTAATGGTCCCAGATTTAAATACCTTACTACTTTCTCGGAAGTGTGAGGAATATGAGATGAGATCCGATTCTTAGGGTTTTCTTGAAATAACTTCAAATCAGTATATTTCGAACGCAACTCGGCATTTAGTTGAAAACCAATCAATCTTAGAATTATACAATTTCATATTAGAAGGAAATGTGGATGTAATTGACTTTCCTATGATCTGAATTTTGAAATATTTGCCTTGTGAGATGTCATTATTTTTAATCTGCTAATTTTCATTCATAAATTTCGCAGCTTTTCTTCCATCAAATTGGCCGGCTGCAACATTCATTACAGCTTTTTAATACAAACTTCCTAATTAAAATATTGCAAATCAAACAAGTAAAATTGCAAATAAGATTATATTGTTTATATCTGCAGCTCCATTTTTCATACAAGCAAGCAAGCAACCTCAGCTCATGCTACTCCCTGATCATGTGGTCCTCTGTGACCTCAATTATTCAACCTTTTGTTAAAAAAAAAAAAAAAGCCAGGAGGTGAACTGACAACGGCATTATTGGCTTGTTAGGGGGTGCGGAAAGAAAAAAGGGAAGGAAAAAAAAAATTACTAAATGAAAAAAGAAAAAATGAAAAGAAAAAAGGCAAAAACCTCGACGAGCATAATAACGCCATCCCCACGCTGACGTGTCGCTCAAGATCCAAGGTCCTTAATCCAACGGCCAAGATTCGCCCTCTCCATTCTTTTATTATCCCCCTCGCCCCCTCTTCCTCTCTCCAAAAACCACCATCACCCTCTCTCTCTCTCCCATCACCAGCTCAGTTTGTTTTCTCTCTCCAAAACATTTCGGCTTTCTCTCTCTAAAAAAACCTAGCCATCATCATGTGAGCAACTTCAGGAGGAGCTCTGGGGATTTCAGGGCGGTGGAGACGGCGCCGTTCTTGAGGGCTTGCGGGCTCTGCAAGCGCCGCCTCGGCCCCGGCCGAGACATTTACATGTACAGGTTAGGGCTTTTTTTCTTCTTTTTTTACAGCAAGGACCCTCTCCTCTTTTTTTTAGAATTTGCACCGGAGTAGTACTATTTCTAGTAGTTTTTTTCTGGGTTCTTGGGAAAATTGTTGTTTGTTCTCCTTCTGGTAATTTTATTCTGTTTATTTATTTTTTTCCCCCATCTGTTACAAGAGCCTTGATCAGATCATAACCCACGACTGAATTTTTTTTTTTTTTTAAATTTTCGCTTTTTGATTTTTAAGATCTTCTTTCTTTTTTTGTAGGTAAGTTCTAATTAATCTTTATGTTAGCTCTACTATATATGTCGAGTATAATTTTTTTATTTTCTTTCTTTCAACAACCTTTTCTACTGGAGTGTGTGTGTTATTTGTGTTATTTTATTTTAGATTCTAGGTATATTGAAGTGGTAAAAAAAAAATTTCTAAATCATTTTCCTAATTAACCATGCATCTTTTTTCCTTAACAAAGTGGGAGCTGACCTAACAATTTCTCATTTAAATATCCCTTATTTATCTCTCTATTATGTTTCCTAACCATGATACCGGCGCTTTTGAAGTTGTGGTGAGGGTGGAGGGTTAGTTATAATTTATTATTGTTTGGAATAAGCGCATATAGAGCAAGAGATGCATCAGATCATAACCCATGTTGTTCTTGAAATTAATCAGTTTTAATCTTATAAATATAATAGAGATATATGCTCAATGTCGGAGGACTTTTTAATTAAGAGATCAAACTGCCAACTGCTGATTTTGTTTGTTATTGTAATATTATCAGGGGCGAGGTAGCATTCTGCAGTCTAGAGTGCAGGCAGCAGCTAATAAACCAGGAGGAAATCAAGGAGAAGCGCGCTCTCTCCACCATCAAGACCGATTCCCACTCCGCCGCGGTGGCCGCCGGATCCGAGACCTCCGGCGGCAACAACGGGGAGACCGTCGCCGCCGCGTAACGAAGCTTAAGATAGCGCAAACTATAGAAAAACAAACGCATGTGGAGCGTCGGTGATGTGCGGTGTTTGATGTCGAGAGTAATCTTGGTGTTGTGAAGGTGATCCGATGCTAGTATGAGCTATGAGCTATTAGCTATTTTCCTATCTTTTTGTACCTTAATTTTTTTTGGGCTTTTTAAAGGGGGAAATTAGTGAGATCGATGCAATTATGTAAGGTTCTATATTAATTAAAACTTTTTTTTTCCTTTCCCTTCTTCTCCTTTCCCTTCTACTTCTTCTTCTTCTTCTTCTTCTTCTTCTTGTGTTTTCTCTCCAAATCCATTGATGCTCATGTTCTTGTGTTTTCTCTCCAAATCCATTGATGCTCATGTTCTTGTGTTTTCTCTCCAAATCCATTGATGCTCATGTTCTTGTGTTTTCTCTCCAAATCCATTGATGCTCATGTTCTTGTGTTTTCTCTCCAAATCCATTGATGCTCATGTTCTTGTGTTTTCTCTCCAAATCCATTGATGCTCATGCTGTGCTACTTGTGAACCAAATGGAGCATTCCCTTTCCCTTCTTCTCCTTTCCCTTCTACTTCTTCTTCTTCTTCTTCTTCTTCTTCTTGTGTTTTCTCTCCAAATCCATTGATGCTCATGTTCTTGTGTTTTCTCTCCAAATCCATTGATGCTCATGCTGTGCTACTTGTGAACCAAATGGAGCATTCCTATATCATTTTCAGGGGATTCCTACTGTCTGCTGGATTCCAAATTAGAGCGTGACATCTTTTAATGGCAGATACACTACTCATCAGGTGAAAATACCGTGCATGGGTTAAATTTAGTGAATACAATTATCAACCAATATGAGACTAAAATCCCACTATTAACACTATTACCAACACCATTATCAACAGCGCCCCCTCAAACTCATGTTGGATCAAACAAAATGAGTTTGCACACAAGAAACTGGACCGATGAATAGGTAAGGCCTTTGTGAAAAAATCTGCAAGCTCGTCGGCGGATGACACATGAGGAAGTAGAATTATCTTATCATTGATAACTTGTTGACGAACAAAATGAGGTAAGGCCTTTGTGAAAAAATCTACAAGCTCGTCGGCGGATGACACATGAGGAAGTAGAATTGTCTTATCCTTGATAACTTGTTGACGGACAAAATGAGCGTCGATCTCAATGTGTTTGGTCCTCTCATGAAATACTTTATTATTAGCAATCTGGATGACACTGTTATTATCACAGTATAGAGGAGTAGGAGTCAAAACAGAAATACCGAAATCACTGAGAAGACGACGAAGATGAATAATCTCTTTAGCTGTTGTGGACATTACACGATACTCTGCCTCGGTGCTGAAAAGAGCAACAACATCTTGTTTCTTACTCCTCCAGAAAATTAAAAAATCACAAAGGAATATAAAATAACCCGTGGTAGACTTCTTGGTAGTGGAATCACCAGTCCAATCAGCATCAGAATATGCATAAAGCTCTAACTTGAATATAACAGAAAACAGAAGAGAACAAGTGCTAGTACCCCGGAGATACCGAATAATCCATAATAAGGCAGCATAGTATACAGAACGTGGAGCACTAACAAATTAACTAACTATGCTAACAGCATGATAGATATCTGGTCGAGAGATCCACAGATAGACCAATTGGCCAACAATATGTCGATATCGGGTAGGATCAGGTAGAGGCTCACCATCAGTAGAGTGAAGTTTGATATTCTGTTAGAGTAGAGTATCGATAATTGCATCGTTAGTTAGCTCGGATCGATCTAGAATATCCGAGAGATACTTCTGTTGAGACAGTAGTACACCCCGCGGGACTTAAAAAATTTCTAGACCAAGAAAATACCGAAGAGATCTAAGATCCTTCATATGGAATTATTGTTGCAACTGAGATTTTACGTACTATATACCAGTCACATCATCATCTGTAATGATCATATCATCTACATATATGAGTAATAAAACTCTGCCACGTGATGTAGTACGAACAAACAGAGAAGCATCTTGATGACTTTCCATAAATCCCGTCTTGAGCACGACATCGTGAAAACACTCAAACACGGAGTGCCTGCTTGAGACCATAAACAACACGGCGAAGGAGACATACATGTCCCAGAGGAATATTGGATCTGGAGGCGGTTGCATATATACTGTCTCAGATATAGAGCCATGGAGAAAAGTATTTTTTTAACATCCATCTGGTATAACGGCCAACGATGAGCAGTAGCGACCGTAAGAAGAGTACGAACAATAAACATCTGAGCAACAGGAGAAAATATCTCCTCATAATCAATACCTTATTACTGAGTAAAACCTCAAACCACTAAACGAGCTTTTCGACGTTCAATGGTGCCATCAGGATGATACTTGACCTTATAAACTCATTTACTGTCAACTAAAGAAATGCTAGGGGGACAGGGAACAACATCCCATGTATGTGTTTGCTGAAAGGCCTAAAATTTCTCAGCCATAGCCTGTCGTCACTCTGGAAATTGAACGGCCTCTTGAAAGGACTTTGGCTCAACTGTAGTATGAATGACAGCAAGAAATTATGAAAGATAGATGAATAGGAAGTAACCGAAGCATACCGTGCAGGCATGACATGTGAGCGTTTGCCTCAACGAAGAGTAAGAGGAACCTTAGGTGGAGGAGATGCTGGCGTAGGTGCATGGAGGACAATAATATTTTCTAGAGTGTGTGTCGTGCCTACGAGATAGGGATCAAATGGTGAAAGAGAAAGCTCGGGTGAGGGAGAGTTAACAGAAGGAGATGGAGAGATTTTAGGAAGATCTCGAAAGGGGAACTGAGGTAAGAAAGTGGGTGATGCAGCTGACGGAGAAGCATGATCAATAGTAAGGAGGAAATTAAAATCATCAGAAGCAGAATAAAATAAAGAATCCTATTCGAACCGAACATATCGAGATATATGAACTCGACGAGTTGCAGAATCATAACAACGATAACCTTGATGTTCCGAACTAATTCCTAAATAGACAGAGAACATCTCTGGGAGATAATGTCACGTCCCGCTTCCCAAAATACTCGGGAACCGGAACGTGAACAAGCCCGCGACGTATTAGATTGAGAAGAAATATACAATATTTCTTTTCTTCTCAATCCAATACGCTAAGCGTCTAGAAATAAGTACAATGCGAAGTCACAGGTCCCCGATCACACATAGCAAGAATACAATGAATAACTCAGAATGGAAAAGATACATATCACAAATGAATATCATCCAAGACATAATATTAGGGTCAAACATGCCCTTATACAAATATGAACAAATGAATACTGAAAAGATACAAAATACACTGATCAAATAGAAATGGAAGGTAGTATAAAAGAAAACGGAGGACCAATAACTAAGCTTTGGCTTCTTCTTCTGCTCCATCCGCTAGGCACTCCTGCTGAGAATCCTCTGGCTCCTGATGATTTCCCAGCTGAACATGTTCTTCCTCTAAGTCTGACGTACACCAGAGAAAACAGGTGTACGTCAGGTACATGGCGCACGGCAAGACCCGACCCCACAAAAAAATAGAACGAACGAAAATCCAATACGAAAAACGATACGATAACAGAAACAACAAAAGGACGTACAACTGAAATCCACAAATCAACATGAAAACACTACTAAATCATGATAACATAAAGCATCCAAAAATCGATCAGGTAACGAGATCATGCAGCTAACGATCAGTCTAATTATCCAAGCAACAAGGTCATACAATAGATGGAATTAATACTTAAAAATCTACAACAAGAGACGTAGTACGTCGAGCGAAATAATCCAAACAAGGAAACCCTCATGTATATACCATATGTCTCGAATTGTAAATAATTAAATATTAACCCCGATCTATGTATGGAAGGAAAAACAACCGATCTACGTCTCACAATAATCCATAAATCCTAACCAAAGTGACGACACCGATTCACTTTGATCCAACTTCCAACCCTAGTGGCGACACCGATCCACTAGTAACAAGTCATGTAACTAGCCATCCTATAACAGATCACTGGTTCATATCTCACACAGAGTCAACGCTCATATTATCGGATAACTGACTGTTCACATATCCCCTACGTGCATCTCATTCAGGAATCAAAGTAGCGACACCGATCTACTTTGACCCAACCAATCAGTCCCCAGTGGTGACACCGATCCACTGTGACTCAACAAATCAATAAATTCAAATAACTTAGTCATTGATTTCATTAAACTTTAAGCGTTACAAATGAATTCAAATAACAAAAGAACAAAAGATTACAACTTTCTTGAAAATAAACACAAGATCCGTTTATCGGCTCTTGCTTGCGTGGGTTCTTCGCCGGTGCCGGGGTTAATCCGTGGACGACCTCGAATCAGATCCGGTTGCAGAAAATTGGGCAGAGCTTCTACCTCACCAAGGGGGTATTTGCTTGAAGTCCTGAAATCGACAAAGCGAAATCAGGGCTCTTCTCGAGATTAAGACAAAGCCTAATCTCAAGGAACGGACGTACGAGCTTCAGATCCTTCGAACGGCTTCTCCTTTGCTCCGAAGTTCACCGGGATCTCGCTGTCCTTTGCTGAAATTTCGTGCTCCTTCACTCTCCAATCCAGCAGCACCTCGTCCTCTTGATAAAATTCCAGATCCAGAAAATGGAGGCCTTTGGTTCATATTTATAGGCCTCAAAATGCGGTTATTTGGATAAGAACAAGGGATTTGGCCCTATCTTCAGTCAACAGCAGCCTAACAACGTTTAGGGATGATCTCAAATCAGTTAAGAACCCCTGGAACCGATAAACCCTGCAAAAAACCAATTTAAAACTGTCAAAATGTGTTTTGGGACTTTAGACTGCGCAGCAGAACTATCTGACCCGCGCTCGCGCGGGTCGGAATCGTCCGACCCGTGCTCGTGCGGGTCGGATTGATCCGACCCGCGCTTGCGCGGGTCGGATTGATCTGTCCCGCGCTTGCGCGGGTCGGATCATTCCGTCCTGCGCTTAGCGCGGGTTCGCCGACTTTTTCCCCTTTTTTGGTTTCTTTCTTCCGGGATTTGTTCTTGTCGCGTATTCGATAGATTTGTTGATTTGTATGCTTCGTCGCGAGACCGATCGTCGAACGCGCGTTGGTTAAGCGTTGACTGGCGCGCACGAGGTGATTTGACGTGCACTCGTTGACCGGCGCGCATGAGTTGGTTGACGTGCGTGCGTTGACCGGCGCGCACGAGTTGGTTTGACGTGCACGTGTTTGACTGA